TCTTTGTGGGAGAGTACCAAGATTACTATAGCAAATTTCTGTTCCAAATGTAAGCCAAATTAAATTTCTTACTTAATTTCTTATGATCAATTCCTAGTGTGTGTAGTCTTTAATACCTGAATTGTGTGTTATACCCAATATTAGATAGAAAATTAACATGAAGGATACACTGTTAAACCTGCACCTGAACAAACATGAATGAAACCAAAGAAATAAAACAGAAACAGTGCTCACTCAAAACCCTGATCCCCTAAATTTTGAAGTACAAAAAAAATGAGGAGCACAACCTATAAAAAATAGGTATTCTTTATTCGGTATATTAACACAATTAACACAATGCCAATGTATTTTGTGCTCTTCATATTTTTTTTGTATTTTTAGACCTCATCCTAGATAAAACAAATTCTGCAAAGAACCCAACTTCACATAGGGCTGTCAACTTAAGTAAAAACCTGTCTTTGCTTCTCCACCAATATGGTCTTTATGACACATGGAGAACTTTGTATCCTACAGCTAAAGATTTCTCTTTTTACTTACACCAGTCATACTCTTGCCCCGATATGTGTGGATTGGGTTGGTGCTACACAGCTTATTTTTTCTACATTGTATACTACAAGGTGCCCTGAGGCATGTCAACTAAATTAGACTATATTGGATAACAATGCTGCATGTGAGGCAGTGTCCACCGATAATTATAATTATTTTTCCAACAACACTGTTAGGTCTACTGTTAGGTTGTGCGGGTACATCGCAACGAAATTTGGGACAACCCAGAATTTTTTTTTTCTATAGATAGGCTCAATATATGTTTGAAAGGTCTGGAAAATAAACATAAAATTACAACCACTCCTAAAACTGTAGTCAAACTGGACAACAATTCAATGCCTACTACCTACGCATTACAAAATGTAGGCTCTGCAAACTTGGCCTGCATTATTATTAACATGGAAATAAGGCTGGAAAATATTTAGTGGTTAAACTTAAATCTAAATTTTTACACATCTCTCTAATGTCTACCAGCGATGGGAAGCTTACTAATCCCATGGAAACAGTAAACAAACTAAATCTGTGTGGAAATGAAAACCAGCAGAGGTCAAAACGGATGCTTTTCTAGATAGAGTGACCCTGCCATGGTGAGATGTTGAGTTACCTTTAATTGAACAGGAGGTTCTTAGGGTACGGTTAATTTATTACCAGAGCAAAGGCTCTAAAAATGTCCTCTCTTTTGTTCCCACATGTCACTTCTATGTTTAATTATATAATGGAATCTGGTTTAACTGGTTTTAAAGCACAGTCATATGAACACAAGGTCGCTCTATTTGTCGATGGCATTTTATTATTTCTCACCAATAAAGATCAACATTTTGTAATTCTATGGTTTAGTTCCATATCATAAAAATGACATGAGCAAAACCCAGGCAATGACCATAGGGATTCCTAATGCTCAACTCTTCATCTAGGGTTTTCCTTAAACTGGGTTTTCCTTCAGAGAATCATATACAACAACTGAATGAATCCAGAACTAGTTTATTGAAATAGATTAATCTAAAGATATCCTGGCTAGGGAGAATTAACATTAGGATGATGGTCTTAACCCTACGCTGTCTTTACAAGCAGGGTCTAAAAATGTTATATTTATTTAGAATGTTGGCTATAGCACTATCCTCGTCCTTCTTTAAACAATTTCAATTACTTTTGCACGCTCGTATCTGGAAAAATTTCAATGTGTATAAACTGAAAAGGGGAAACCCTACAGTTGACGTTATGACTTTCAAAAATAAGGGGGTTATTGTTGTACTTGTGAGACATCACTGGACACAAATATGTACATTTTATTGCAGTAAAAAGTATTATGATGTTCACAGTTAAAATGCCATGCAAAACTTGGAAAATAACATTTCCTAATTTCCCACACTTTTAAAAATTCATATTAAATTATGTTTCATATATAAATATATCTAATGTGAAATGAAAGCCATATTTCTCCTGAATAAAATGACGTATAATAAGTGTGGATGCACTTAATATGAAAGAGGTATGTTATGGTCAAATACATAGCTCAAAGTCTAGGTTTTGTTTTGGTCAGAACCTGTACAATAGCCTCCATTCTAAAAGGAGTAAGTGGTTAAGATACAAGGGCAATAATGAAACCTGAAAGAAAAAAACAACAAAATGACAGATAAAGTCTGTGTCAGGGAAACTGGAGAGGGTTTACAAATTCTGCAAATTTGGCATGCTGTTTTTTTTAATGTATTCTTATGAAAAAAGAAAAACATTTTCAATGGAGTATTCCTTGAAGCTATGTCCACATTTAAAAGCTTTCAAGTAAAAATGTATTACATTTTTTTTTTGGGATGTTAAAAACGCATGTTTAGTACCAGGCTTCAAAAGCTTCATGATGGATATTTGACCTTCATAACATCAGGTATTTGCAATAGCAAAGCAGACCCATTAGAGCCAATAATCCTTACAACACATTAGTTTAATTGAGGGTGCAACACCTGCTAATGGACCCACACGATTAAATCAAGCAAGAAAATTATGAAAGTGTCATTTATTGGCTCAAATAAACAGGAAAAAAACAAACAAATAGCACCTGCTTTCATGGTACATGTTAACTCATAATGGTGATTACTTGGCAAATATTTGGAACTGTAAGGTTGTCCATTATTGAGAGACCATGAACATGCAGACACATGCAGTAGAAGAAATGTAGCTGTTTTATAGACATTTTCCCGGTATACCATTCATGATTTTACATAAACCTGCCATGGCAGGTTCCGCTAAGTTTATAACCGCTCCCAAAGCAGCAAATATATAATTTATCATTAAAGTTACACTCTAGGCACCAAGCCACTTCAACACATTGAAGTGGGTATATACCTGGAGCAAGGCTGTCTTTAATATTGAATGGATCCTGGGCAAGCATTAGCTTGGGTCCTGGATCCTGCCTTCCTCCCACTCACTGGCATGTATTCACACCCTACAGTGCGGTACTAAAGTAGAGAGGAAACCAGTGCAAGAATTTATCACAAAAGGTGGCCAAATGGTAGATCTCCATCTGTCGTGCAGCTCCAACAATGCTTTGACAGCTGGGACTCTACATTTTTCCATGCTTGCAGGGTTGTGTTTAGCACTGAGCAGTGTTTGTGTGTTTGAATGAAAAGCATGTTTTTATATTGAGTATGTTTGTGTGAATCTAGGTGTAGGCTTGTATGTAGTGTTGGTGTTTGAATGCAACCATGCATTTATGACTAGTGTTGATTTTTTAATGCAAGGGTGTGTTTAAATATATTTTGGTGTTTAACACAGAGGTATTTTTGTTTGTAGTGTTGATGTTTCAATGAAGGAGTGTCCTATTATGTAGTGTCAAAGTTTGAATGCAGGGGTGTATTTGTGTGTAGTGTTAGTGTTTTTAATGATGAGATGTATGCACATATACACATACACTCTCACACAAACACAAACATAGTTACAAACACACTCTGAAACACATGAAGATACACACTGACACACATGCAAATATACAGACCCATATACACACACTGACAAATATATAGATGCAGACACACAGATATACAGACTGACACAGACACACAGATACACCACTGACACATGTACAGATATACAGAAACACAGATACAGACACTAACACATGCAGATACTCAGAAACACACATACACATGACACACATGCAGATACAAAACTACACACACTGAGACAAACACACAGATATACAAACTGACAACATAGAAACACACAGACACACATACTGACAACATACAGAAACACAATGATAGCAAACAGATACAAATACTGAAACACACATATACATATACTGACACACACACTGACAGACGCACTGACACAGGTACTTACGGTACCATAACCACTACAATGAGTTGATTTGGTAATGCTGCCTAGATAAGTGATTTACAGTGTTACCTTGGTTTATGAATTTAATGCGTTCTCCGGGACGTTTTGTATTGCAAAAAATTTGTAAACCGAAACTTGGTTTTCCCATAGGAATGCATTGAAAACCAATTAATCCATTAACCCACAATGCAGAACACACATTAATCAGAGTTTGCAGGAATCTATGATCTGCAAACTTTCTTTGTCTTAGGGATGAGCATAACCACCTAGCAAAGCTAGTGGGTATGCGGCAGCCTCCCGGAGTCAAATGCCAGAGCTGAAAAGGCTCGCGCTGTGCATCTGCACAGCAACAGCCTTTCAGCCAATCAGGTAATCAGGAGAGCCGTGCTGAGTGCGGGAATCCTGATTACCTCAGATTTTTTAAAATTGGGAAACTGCGGATGGTTAGCACATCCCATGAAATACTAAGGATAAATATTTCCCACAGTGTACAGGAATATAATTAAACTTCTAAACACAAAATAAAATAATTCAAGATGCCAATAGTACAGGGGAACAAGAAAATATTTAATAAGTCATGGAGACATACAAGATAGACTTGAAACTTTGTATAAAACAGCTGAACTGAAAAACAAGGCAACAATGTGTGCCAAAGGAAAGTATCCAAAGACCACTGGAAACATTCAACGTAAGTTGCAACAAAATAAGTTCAATAAAAGAGACAAAAAATGTTGAAACAAGTCCCAGCAGACATAATCTTTATGCAGGGAGTCCATGAGAATATTAAACCGACGAGACTACTTGCATCCAATCCTTCTACTTAGGTGGATCCTTGGTTTGTTGGTCTTGTCTTGGAGTACGGCTATAGTCTGTAAAAAACAAAACAGAGAATAGTTATCAAAAGGTTGAATAATCACCAGATAACCTTATGTTTTAGAAAAACCAACTACCACCAGCAGGCAAAACCCTTAACTAGGAGGAGGGTGGGACGGGCGCTATTGCTAGGTGGTTATGCTCATCCCTAAGACAAAAAAAGTTTGCAGATCATAGATTCCTGCAAACTCTGATTTGTCCTCCGGGAGGCATAACCACCTAGCAAAGCTAGTGGGTAGAATAGCACACACCTGGTGGTGGTCCTAAGAAACTGAAGGCGTTCAACTTCTGATGGCCTCCAGTAAAATCTAACAAAGGTTTTACTGGACAACCATCTTGCAGCTTTAAGATAGTAGCTAGAGGAAGGCCCTTTCCTGCTGCTTTAGTAGCCGAGGCTCCCCTAATTGAATGGCTTTTGAACACTGAAACATCAATTCCAGCCGTAGACATGGCGGAAAGTATCCAGCCTCTAATTGTATTAACCTTGGCTGGACGAAAGGGATTCCTTGATGTAATGAATAATTGACTGATATCGTTTCTAAATCCAGCAGAAAGTTGAAAGTACGATTGTAACAAACTGACTAAACATAAGCCTGGTTCGGAAGAATCTTGGACCAAGTCCAATTCTACCGGACCAGGAGAAAAATGGGATGTTTTTTGTCTGCCTTTTAGTATAATATGGAAACCTCCCGGGGTCCTGGACAACCAAGGTTCTGAAATATGGATCTGAGTTAACTCTGCTCCAATAGCTGCCAGGGCCAAGGACAGCAGAGAAGCCAGCTTAATAGCAGTCCATCTTAAATCAATTTTAGCATTATCCAAAGACTTTAGGAAATTTAATAAGACATCTACATCCCAAGTAGATGTGTAGCGTGGGGTATATGGGCGGCAGACGGCTAACCCTTTTAGTAATCTCAAATACAGGGCATCCTGAGTAAGGTTGGGGATCAGGAAGTTTAAGGCAGATCCGTAGGACTTGATTGAACTGACAGATAAACCAGAATGGAACTTAAGGGTAAGAAATTCTAACGCCAAAGGAATGGTATCAGATCCTTGTGTGTTAGACAGAAAAGAAACCTCCCATTCTTTGAATTCCTCGATCATCTTTCTATATCTTACCCTAGTTCTACGTCTTAAAGATGAGTTAATAATATCCAAGACCTGGTCCGATAAATGGGGATGTGTTAACAGCCTACCAGGGCTGCGATCCACATCAGCTGCGGGAGCTTGAGCAGAAGATCGCTGGTTCCCTGAAAGCAGTCCACTGTCATGCCTAATGGGATCTTGGTTCCCTTGACTAACTGATGGATCAAGGGATACCAGGGTCTGGAGGTCCATACTGGGTAAACGAGAACTAAGCTCTGCACCCTGTCCCTGCGGATCTTCTCCAGCACTTTCATCAGTAAAGATGGAGGGGGGAAAGCATAAGGGGATGGAACATCCGTCCATTGGAAAGACATTGCATCCATTTTCCAAGCTCCATTTGTCCAGGTCCGGGAGACGAACCTGGGAGTTTGAGCGGATGTTTGGGATGCAAACAGATCTACCTGTCTCTGGCCAAAATTGCTTTCTATCTTTTGGAAAAGAGCAATCTTTAATTGGATCGTTGCCAGGGACAAACTTTGGCGAGAGAGAGAGTCTGCAAGCTCGTTCCCCTCTCCCGGAACATATTCTGCGAAAACCTGAACATTGCTTGCTAAGGCCCAGGACCAAAGATCTAGAGCCTCTAAGCAAAGACCCCTTGATCTTGTACCCCCTCTGTGGTTTATATAAGCCACCGCTGTCCTGTTGTCCGAATGGACTTTTACCAATGTCGGTGACTCGTTTAGAGGAACTAGGCCCTTGAGAGCTAATTTTATAGCTCGTAACTCCCAGATGTTTATATGGAGGTGACTCTCTTGGTCTGATCAGATTCCTCTTATGGCGTTTTGGGTTGTAAACGCACCCCAACCGTGACTTGAGGCATCTGACGTCAGAGTGACTGTCACAGGCTGCTCTAACAGAGGACGAGGAAATGGAATTTCTAACTCCAGAATGGACTTCAATTCTTCTCTGACCTTCTTGGGGAGAACAAATTTTGATTCCCAATGGCCACCCTGTCTCAGTCGGTTCCCTAAAAACAGCTGACTTCTTCTGCAAAGTAAGGGGGAATTGTTGTATGCTGGTGTTAAAGCTATTAATTTCCCTATGATCTTTGCTAGGTCTCTCAAGGACCAACTCTGGTGCTTGAGAGATGAGTTCAGATGTACCAATAATTTGTCCCATTTGTCTTGAGGGATTCCAAGGGACATAGTCCTGGTGTTCAGTATGAAACCCAGAAAGAGGATGCTTTGAGTGGGAATTAGGACTGATTTCTGTAGATTTACTACGAATCCTAGGTCTTGTAAAAGGGAAGCAAGGTAATCCCTTTGAGAAGCAAGGGCTTCCCCATCTGGGTGCATGAGCAGGATGTCGTCTAGGTAGTATAGACACATGAAACCTTTTAGTCTGACATGAGCTATCACTGATTTCATAATTCTGGAGAATGTGTATGGTGCGTTGGGGAGGCCAAACACCATAACAGTCCACTGCCACACCTTTCCTTTCCACTGAAACCTGAGAAAACGCCTGTGTTTCTTGGCTATGGGGACTGAATGGAAGGTATCTTTTAGGTCTACTTTTATGCAGAAAAAGGCTTTCTGAACTAAGCCTGGAAGATCTGATAGACTCTCCATCCTGAACCTTTTCCTTTTGATGAAAGCGTTCAGAGGCCTCACATTTAGGACCGGTCTCCAGGAACCGTCTGACTTTGGGATTGGGAACAATGGGCTGACCCATCCTGTAATAGACATGTCTGCCAACTCTATTTTCCCTTGACTTAAAGCTAAGGAAAGGGAGGCATCTAGCACTGGGTTCACCTCTCTGTGGGGTGCAAATTTCTGGACTGGGAACCTTAACAGGGGGAGTTGTAAACCCCTTTGAAAGATCTTTAGAACCCATTTGTCTGAGGAAATATCCTTCCAATTTAGTGGCATATGAGGAGGCACACTCACTTGAATGCATGGGTTTCCTTTTGGAAGCTGAACCGCCTCTGGAATGCGCTCCTCTTCCGCCGCCTGGGAGCTTATGTCTTCCACTGTAGTGGCGGTACTGGGCCTGGTGAGAGGCTTCTCGGGACGCTCCTGCAGCCCTATAGGGGCGACCCTCCGTCCGAAAGGGCTTCTTGTAGCCAGGGACGGACTTCTTGAGTTCTGAAAAGGATCTCCTTGCCTTGTAACGGCCTTTAACCTCCTGAATGAACGAGGGACCGAATAGGTAAGAATCCTCCAAATTTGGGAACTCATGCGATTTGGGGGCTAGGTCGGACAGACCAGCTGCATGGAGCCAGCGGGATCTGCGGATGTTTGAAATGTAATTAAAGTATTGGCCAATAATTAGCACTGCCCTGCCAGACGCTTTTAAAAGGGCCATCTTAGATGCTAACAGGGATGAAGTGGAAGGTTTCTGAGCATTGCCTTCTTTTTCTGCCTTATCCAGCATCAGTAATAGTGGTCCCACAGCATCAGCAATTTTAAACTGTATATTGCGAAAAGTCTGGTCTGTGGGATCAGAGGATACGCTGCTCCCTGTGATGGATAACAGCGAGGGGTCTACCTCTGGGGCCATTAGAGCCTGAATGTCCGGGATACCGATGTGGTTCCTGAGGAGAAGGTCATCTTCCTTAACCAAGGGGGATCTGAAGGCTAG